ATACATACATTGTTATGTGACCCTAATTGCTCTCCCTATACTGTGACAGCACACTCCTCCTTTCCACCCCTGATTTCCCGTGTCCATTCAACCAGATCCTGACCCTCTCTGCCTTCTCATCTCACCTCCAGACACGAGCTGCCCATTTAGTCTCATGTATCTACTTGAGCTAAGAAGCACACTCTTCACAAGTATCATTTTATATCCCACAGTCCAGTCTAATCTTTGTCTGAAGAGTTGGCCTTGGGAATGGTTTCAGTTCTGGGTTGACAGAGAGTCCAGGGGCTATGCTTTCTGGGGTTTCTCCAGTCTCAGCCAGACCATTAAGCCTGGTCTTTTTACTAGAATTTGAGTTCTGCACCCCACCTTTCTCCTACACCACCAGGGACCCTCTGTTGTGTTCCCTGTCAGGGCGGTCATTGGTGGTAGCTGGACACCATCTAGTTCTTCTGGTCTTAGGATGATGCAGTCTCTGGTTTATGTGGTCATAGGCTGGTTTTTAAGTATCAGATGAGTTAACAAGAATAAAATGTTTAGAACATGGCCAAGAACATGTTGTTGTTGTTGTTAGGTGCCGTCAAGTTGATTTTCGACTCATAGCAAACCCATGTGACAGAGTAGAGCTGCTCCATAGGGTTTCCTAGGTTGTAATCTTTATGGAAGCAGATTGCTGGGTCTTTCTCCTGAGGAGCGTCTGGGTGGGTTCAAACCGCCAACCTTTTGGTTAGCAGCTGAGCACTTAACATTGCACCACCAGAGCTCCTTAAGAACACAGTAAACACTCAATATACTTTAGTTGCTATTGTTGTTACCATTACTTCTACTTGTCAGATTCCATGTGAGACTGTGGGCCCCCTTGAAGGCAGGTAACATTTTCTATTCCTTTCCTGCTTCCCTCAGATCTGGAATATTCTGGGATGATTTGGACTATTCAGTGGCCCCAGCACCCAACACAGAACTTGATGCATAATAAGGCTCAATAAATGGGTGAGTAAATGAAGGCAGTGCTAGACTATTTACACTCAGCTTTACAGTGGTTAAGAGCTTGGCTGCTAACCAAAAGGTTGATAGTTTGAAGCCATCAACCACTCCTTGGAAACTCTATGGGGCAGTTCTACTCTGTCCTATAGGGTCTCTGTGGGTCAGAATCAACTTGATGGCAGTGGGTTTGGGTTTTGTGTTTTTTTGACTAAGTGATGGTTGCTTTACGCCCTCCCCTGCAGCATCCCGAGAGAGGGGAGAATGTCACTGGACACACCAGGCAGAAGGGAACTGAGCGAGGACAAAGGGGGATGGACGTTGCAGCAAGACAGACTGGTACTGAAGCTGAGTACTCTTGGGCACTTAATTTCTTCTCAGGCCTTAGTGCATCCCTCTGTGTATCTAAATAAAGGCTGTAACTACTAGAAAGATGGGTATCCTTTCAGGAAGAACAAGGTGAGGAGGAAGAGCATGATGTCTCTTTCTCCACCTGTCCCAGGAGACTGGACCAGAGCTGGGAAAAACTGGCAAGCCCTCAAAAGACCCTACCCCTGAAGGCACAACACAGGCAATTCTGGTTTCCCCAGTAATCTTTTTGGGGTGTGTTAACAGGCGCTCCCACCAGCCTGGGAGCCAGTTCTTCACTAGCATAGGTCTGTGGGGTGTAGCATCCCATCCTGCCTCTTTCTGAACCCAGGCAGCAGGCATCTTGTGAGCACTTTCCCTGCAGCCGGCCATGGGCAGCTCACAGCCTGGCCCAGGCTGCTGACCACTGTGCCGCGGCCACTGGGGAAGCAGGTATGGCCTTCTTCCTGTGGCCTCAGGAGGAGGTGGGGATTGGGACATGACAGGCAGCCAAGGAGGCCTGGAGGCTACCCACCAAATGGAGGAGAGTAACAACCTCTTTGAAACTGGAGTTGCTAATGCCGTCTGTAGCTCAAACAGCATGACAAGTCCGTATTGCAGGACTGTCTCCCTGAGGCGTGACGAAACAACTCCATGACACTGCAGATGGAGACCCAAGATTCTAGTTATCCAGGCAGCTTCCTGTCAATGCCCTGGGGGGCCTCCATCACCAAGAGATATCAGTTGCTGTCCAGCTGACTCTAACTCATGGCGTACCCCATGTACATCAGAGAACTGTGTTCCACAGGTTTTGTGTGTGTGAATGTTTGTTTTTATTGGGAGATGGGCTGGGAAATGTCATCTTGGGTATTACTCCTCCCTCTCCTCCCTCCAAGGAGTGTCCATTCTAATCTTCCTGGGATGGTTTTCTGAATTTCTTTCTTTTCGTTTTTGCAGCTACTGCTCTTGCTGCTAGCAGCCTCTTCAGGTCCACTCTGACTGGCTTCTCCTTGGAAGAGAATTTCTTCTTTTTCTTTGGGACATTCCTGCTGTTAGCTGCCATTCAGGATCACTAGCTGGTTCCTCTTTGGGGAAAGAGTTCTTCCTCTTGGAGAAACTTGTGCTGACAGCCGTCTCTTTGAGATCACTACTAACCAACTCCTCCTTGGAAAAAGATGTCTTTTTCTTGGGTTTGAGGAGAGCAGATCTAGACTGATCTGCCATTCCATTCTCCTGTGGAGCCTCCAGGGGCCCTTGCTTTTTCTTCTTTTTGGGTCGTTCACTCGTCCCCCCTGGTTGAGGACTCCTGGGAACAGGTGTGTCATATAACCAACCCTCTGGGCTCCTGAGCGAATTCTCTTGGCACTACCTCCTTCCTCACATTCCTCAGGAGTAACTGCTGCTGTTTCTGAAGACGTGAGTGCAACCGCGGCCAGTTGTTTCTTTTCCTTCTTCAACCATTTCTTCTCCTGTTTCTCCAGCTTCCGAGCCATTTTGACAGCTGCTTCCTCTGCCTGAACCACTGCCTCCTTCATGACATCCAGATTCTTCCGTGGAACCTCTCCAGTCTCACAGAAGATCAGCACTCCTTGACTTGCTCTTGAAGTTTTTCCCCAAATACACTCATGGATACCACGGAGAAACAATCAGTCTGTAAGGCAATACCGTGTTTGTTTGCCAGGTGTTGGGAGATGTGGCCCTTGTCCTTGGCAGCTGCTTGGCCAATGAAGGTGAAGCGGAAAATGAGTCCATATCTGGGGGGTGTTTCCCCTTGTCTTCAGGGCCCTGGAAGCTCAGTCCCTTCTGCTGGGCCCTGGGAATCACTAAGAGACCAGGACTGGCCATCACCCCCACAGCAGAGGCCTGTATAGGACAGGGGCCCTGGCTAGCATCATCATGATCCACAGAGTTTTCAATGGCTGATTTTTCAGGAGAAGATTGCCAGGCCTTTCTTCCAAGGTGTCTGTCAGTGGACTCGAACCTCATAGTGGATGTTAACCATTTGTACCACCCAGGGACCAAGAGATCAGTGACCCTTACGAAGGAGGCCCTTACTCTTTGAAATCTAGGAGTACAAGGGGGGCTCTGTGCAGCTTGAAAAGGCATCCTCCAAAATTCCTTTGTGATTTTAGACGTGGTATTTAGTCTCTTTGGAAATGCCAAATAATATTAAAGGAAGGCATGCTATTTTTGTGATTTTTCAGAAAGGGTTATGGACTAAGAAAAGGTTGAGAACCGTGCCTGGAGGGATCCTGGCCATGCTGTGTGTACTTATTGCTGTTACATTTATAACTTGACATTAGCTGCCTCACTCCTAACAGTTTTACATGGAAATACTATAATAATCCAGAACTAAGAGATCAGTACACCTACCACCTCCCCGCAAGCCCTGCCGGCCTCTTCTTTCTTCAGATCTGGAATATTCTGAACCAATCTGGAATATTTTGGTCCTCGTCTGTTGGACCAAATGGAACTGACCAAATGCACATTCTAAAAACAAAACTCTGTTCTTTTTTGTCTTCATTCTGGAGACACTCTGTTTGACCCATCGTGGCATGAGATCCCAGCCCCCCACTCTCCCAAGCATGAGACAGCACTGGGAAGGCCCCCTGCTGCCAGAAACATTTGTCAGGGTGATTTGGTGAGGTTCGGTACAGAAAGCAATTGTTTACTTGGAAAATCATTTATCATGGACAGTCTGTCGAAAACAATCTCATTTCAAACCCTTCCAGGGGAGAAAAGAACTGACAACTGGCACTAAGTAATCTACAGCATGGCTGCTGGGAGTCATTTATCTTTCCAAATAGTCGCGCCCAGTCCAGGATTCGAGGCTTTCAGGAGAGAAGAGGAATAAATCATAGCGGCTCTGATGGAATCTGTTCATTCCATGGGGGATGGGGGGTGGATCGGATAAAGGGGTGGGGAGGCTATGTCGGGATGGCCACACTCTCCTGGGTACACAACTGGAGATTTTTCATGGTCTCAATTATACTAATAGCCAATGTCCAGAAGAAGAATTGCAGTATTCTTTGAGGGGGTTTTTGGTTTTTTTCTTTGAGAGGGTTTACTTCCCTCATGACAGAATACACTCTTTTTGTGCTTTAGTTCATCTTAAAAGCCAGAATTCTCCTTTTAAGGGAGTAATTAAGGAAAGGCTTACTGCCTTTTTGTATCATCTGACTTCCTCTTTTCTTGGGGCACGATTTCCTTTGCCAGCCCTTAGCATGGAGTTTTATGGCATATTAGATCATTATTCTGTGTGTGCCATTTCCACTGACATCAACACCCTGGAAGCAGCCAGAATATCAAGCCCTGTGATGTCCACAGAGAAAAGCAGAAGAGGGAAAATTTTCCCTATTAAGTTCCTGGATTTTTACAATTAGGTACAGATAGGAAAAGCAATCTGTCACGCTCCCAAGCATCTAATTAAACCCAGGTTCTGGTTTTGAGGTTCACCAGGCCCCAACAGATGCTTACAAACTTCAGGGCACTATTACTTGAAAGCTTTGGTATCAGCCAGTGACTTGGAGGGTACTGCCAAGGCAATTTATGCCAGAAATGCTAAACTCGGAATAATCTCGGGCACCTGTAGGGGTCTTGTATGTACTTCCTGGGAACAAATTAAAACAGAAGCGTCTTTATAGATGGGTGGGCCCCACCAGTTCACAAAAAGATTTACATTACGGATACTTGTACTCCATTATTATCACAATCTTGATTTAGAAATAAATCACCAGAGTTGGTAAAGGAGAAGTTTTAGGATCAACTTTTCCCCAAATTGCTTTTCTTTGGTGTCATCATCAGGTCTGAAACCCAAACTTTAAAAGCAACATTACCTGATTGTGTCCCAGCCAAACGTAGGTCTGGATTCAAAATCCTACTTCTGCCACCTCCCAGTTGTCACTTAAGGCAAGCCACTTTACCCACTCCGTGCCTCAGTTTCCTCATTTGTGACATGGGTATAATAACGGATGTTGTTGTTAACTGCCGTCAAGTCGGCTCCGACTCAAGGCTCCAACTCATGGCCATCCCATGTACAGCAGAACAAAGCATTGCCTGGCCCTGCGTCATCTTCAAGATCATTGGTACACTCGAGTCCATTGTTGTGGCCACTGTGTATCTGGCAGCTGGAATCCACCAGGCGCTCCATGGAAACCCTATGGGGCGGTTCTATTCTGTCCTATAAGGTTGCTATGAGTGCGAATTGACTCCACAGCAGTGGGTGTGGTTTTTGGTTTTCCAACCTAGGGGGTTCATCTTCCAGCACCATATCAGACAATATTTTGTTGTGATCCATAGGGTTTCACTGGCTAATTATTAGAATTAGATTGCCAGGCCTTTCTTCCTAGACTGTCTTACTCTGGAAGCTGTGCTGAAATCTGTCCACCACGGGTGACCTGTTGATATTTATAATACCAGTGGCACAGCTTCCAGCATCACAGCAACATGCAAGCCACCACAGTATGACAATCTGACAGACGGGTGGTGGGATAATACTGGTCCTACATTACGGACTGTTGTGAGGATTAAACGAGGTGATACTTACAAAATGCCTTAGGAGATGCCTACATAGGCTAAGCACAGTGCCTGCCACAAAGCAAGCATTTAATTTTAAAAATCTTTTAGAAAACTCTCAGCCAGAGATGAACGAGGGGGTGGGTGTGCTGGTCAGTTGCCTGGGAACCAATCTATAAAAAGATGACCACAAAAGCTAGGAGACGGGAAAAGGCGATTTTCAGGGAGAGCACTTACTGCAATACGTGGCCAGAAAGAATGCTTGCCAGAGGAGTTAGTGAAGGGGTGAGACTGCCGTGAAGACAGAGGATGGGCCACAGAGGGCCTCTGAGGTACCTTTGTAACGATTTTCTTCCTCCTCCTCCTACCTTTCCCCCGTATCATCCCAAACCAAACCCATGGCCATCAAGTCGATTCTGACTCATAGTGACCCTGTAAGGACACAGTAGAACAGCCCCATAGGGTTTCCAAGGCTGTAAATCCTATGGAAGCAGATTTCCACATCTTTCTCCCACAGAGCGGCTGGTGAGTTTGAACGGCCCACCTTTCATTTAGCAGCTGACTGCTTTAACCACTACACCACCAAGGCTCCTCCAAAACAAATACGTACAGAGTATCAATTTGAAGTCATATAAAAGTATTAACCTGTCCAAGCATCTCCTTGGTCCACCATGCTCTGGGATACCTCTGTGCTGGGTCTAAATACTCTCACTGCTTTTTGCATTCTCTCCCATGATTTACCACCTTCAGTGATCAGAATATTCCACTTGGGTCACCTGTAGTCAACAGGAAACCTCCCTCCTCCCAGTCCAAAACCCTCATTACCTTAGAGACTGTGATGGATTGAACTGTGTCCCCCATAAATTATGTGGAAGTCCTAAGCCCTGCACCTGTAAATATGACCCTGTCTGGAAACGGGTTTTCTTTTGTTGATGTTAGTGAGGCCATACTGGAGTTCTTCTTGTTGTTAGTTGCCATTGAGTGGATTCCAACTAATGGTGACCCCATGTGTGCAGAGTAGAACTGCTCCATAGGGTTTTCAAAGTTGTGACCCTTCATAAGCAGGTTGTCAGGCCTGTCTTCCAAGGTGCCTCTGGCTGGGTTCGAACTTCCAACCTTTTGGCTAGTAGTCAAGTGCTTAAGTGTTTACGCCAACCAGGGAAACCTCATACCAGAGAAGGGTGGGTTCTAATGCCTTCTGACTAGTGTCTGATGAAAAGAGCAGAAAAGCAACATACACACAGGAGGATGACAAGCCAAGGAATGTTAAAGAACACCTGGGCTACTTTAAGGAAGGATCTAAGGCTAACGTCCTAATTTACTCTAAAACTGTGAAACAAAAAATGGCTGTTCTTTAATTAAAGCCACCGTCTTGTGGTATTTTTTGTGGCAGTAGTAATAGGTAACTAAGACAGGGGCCAAGCCCTAAGGGAGGAGTGGCCTTCAGCACTCACCATCTGGGGACCGAGAAAAGAACAGGTCATGATAAAAACTAGACTGGGACATAGTGGATGTTATTTGGGAAATGTTTATGAAATTTTTCTGTAGGCATGCATGTTTATATCATAAGGACTATAAATCATTTTTGACTCCTTGAAAGATAATAAGTTTGTGGCCAGCATTTTTCATTTTTTAGGATGAATGAGAAGGCCATGATCTTGAAAGAATAGGAGCAAAGACAACCACTCCAAGTCAATGCTAAAACATGGACCCAGCAGAAAGTAAACCAACGTGGCTCATCCACTCCAAGAGTCTCAAGACCAAGGGTTAACCCAGTTTATCCTTCCAGTCTTGTCATGCAGATTCATCTCACTCACCCCCATCAACTGACATAGAGTATAAACATATCAAAAAATTTAATATTTATTTAATCAAAGCATGATTTGGCAGGGAAATCTGCTGTGAAGAGAACATTCTATGATAAAGTCCAATGCCAAAATAGTAATAAGAATCATTTAAAAGCAGATTGCTTAAGCTCCATCTCTTTCCCTCCATTGGTATTGATAATTGAGGAGAAAGAGCATTTATTCAGCCTACTGCATGCCAGGCGTGTGTTAGGAAGTTGACTCATCTTCACCACAGTGACTCGAGGTAGACAATATCATGGCACTGGACAGATGAAGAAACTAAGACTTTCCAAGACTGTAACTTATCCAAAGTTGTGCTCCTAGAGAGAGAGGCAGCTGTCTGAGCACAGAGTCTATGTTCTGCTATGTTGGCCCATTCCTAAAACTGCCATTGTAGGTGGAATAAGCCCCTGGATGAACCAGAGTGGGACTCATGTGCTAACCATGAGCTGATATTACTCTAGAAATCAAAAACAAAGAGTAGTGGCTATAACTTTTTTTAAAAAAGGAAAATAACAAGGGTTGGTGAGGATAGGGAGG